TCATCTTGTGTACGCTGCGGACTTCGCGATCGCTTGGAGGACTTGGTTGACGTTGAGGAAGATTTGTGTTTGTCCGATTTTTCTTTGGCCACCTTTTGTTCGCTGTGCTGCGATTTATCCTGCTTAATAAAGATGAATATGTAATATTTGAAATAATTATTTATTGCACTCACTTCTTTGCTTTTTTCATGTCTAGATTTGCTGTGCTCGCTTTTGTGGCTGCTGTGATGCCGTTGCTTGCTGCTACTGTTGCTGCCACTGTGATGGTTACCGTCGCTGCTGCTTTTATGGTGGTTGCTGCTGGGCTTCGTTACGGACTCCTTCGATTTGCGGTGCTCACTGTTGCTGCTTGTTTTTTGGTCTTTGCGGTGCCTATCGCTGTCGCTGTCCTTCGGCTTTGATTTGTCGTGGCTACTGCTTTTGTGTTTCTTGTCGCTCTCCGATCGACTTTTTGAGTGACTCTTACTGCTGCTGCTGCTCGATTTGGTCTTATGATCGCTGTTCTTGGAACGTTCTTCATGCTTTGACTTGTGTCTGTGACGGGAGTCTTCACCACCTGAGGAATTGCTGCCTTTGTTCTCTTGATCCTGATCCTCTTCACTGGATCGCCGACCATTTGATCTGTTTGAATCCTCTTCAGTTTTGTTGGTCTGTGGAGCGGGTTCCTCCTCAGCAGCGACCATAGCCTTCCATTTTGTGACTAGTGTTTTGGCTGCAACGCCGACCTCTCCGTTAATCTTTCGCAGTGCATTAACCGTTTTACCAATGCCTGTTTCCTGCAGGTGCTCGAATGTGATGGGCAGGTTAAACAGCTTTGTAATGCAGTGCAACAGCTGCGTGGACAGGTAGAAGCCGAAAAAGCAACATATTTGGATTAGATAGGGGCTTATTTTATGGGGTGATTAACAACAATACATATATTGTAAATCTTAGGAGCAAGGATAACGTATTTGAAATACGATATATATTGCATATATCTATATACGTATGTATAAATCTGAATATTTACATACACATGCTTGTATTCCTTGCATTTTAATCAACATACCCTATACCCAGAGCTAAAACACTAAGAACATATGTTCTATTGTTAGTGACTATACACATACGAGGAAACACCTACACACACCCAAACCAACACACACACAACAAGGGCACTCCAACTTTAGAAACGTACAATATTTGTCAATTGAGGGTCATCAAACAGGTTCCACAGAATTTGTTTATTAAATAAAAAAGTATGCTTTTTAAATAGGTATTCCCTTATTAACTTTATGAAAATCACATAGAAGGGCGATATAAGATAAGAGATGTTGTCAATAAGAGATAGAAAGAAGGGTAGAAGTAAGAGACTAAAAGTAAGAAAAATAAAGAGGCAGGAAATAACAGTGTGAGAGGGAGAGAAAGAAATTGAGTGAAAATAATATAAAATAAGGGAAAGGGAGTAAGAGAGGAAATGAGAGAGAGGCATTGATCAGACTAAAAGATAAAGAGCATCAGTATATTAACCTACAAAAGTGCAGCTTATAATAAAATTAGATTTATACACAACTCGTATAAATAAAAAAATTTTTGTCTTACATGATGCCATGCAAGTTGCATGGATCGCCTATATAGAAAATGCTTCGTTTTTATTAGAGGTGGAGACTTGGAAAATATAAGATCTACGCGAGAAATGCTTCTTTATACTTTTTACTAAATCGTATAAATACTTAAGAGTAGGGACGATAATAGCAAGCATGTCTTTATTTATAATGTATACAAATAGTTCAAACATGTGCATAAAAATATGTATACATGCATACTTGTGATCTGGCATTTACCAATATCTTTTTTTTTCCAAATTATGCAAATTACAACTAATTTGCAATTGGAAGTGAAGGTTTTTCACAAATTGTTGAAATATCGTTTTCATGGGGGGCCCCATGAAAAACTCCCCTAATGCTAATAGGATAAGCTGGGGAAAACTTACTCGTGTCTCATCCTCGCCATGGCGTTCAATGCTGCGTTGATAGTGGCGAACAACATCTGCCAGATTGCTAGTGGACGTCATCACGTTAGGAAAATGCACTAATCTCGCTTGGTTGTAAGTATTCGGGGCTTGGACTATAAAAATGGCACGCAGGCAGCCTCACACTTCAACTTTTCAACTGAGTTGTATACAAATTACGACAATGCGGGGCACAATACACACACACACACACAAATCTCCTGTGTAGGAGCACTCTTATTTGATGAATTATCTAAAGGACATAGCTGCATGAACTTTAATAATTATGTTTAATAATTATTTCACTAAACTGTGTGACTTTTCACTTTAAATTCTACGTTAGTCAACACTAGTCAACAGCTGACAGCATCTGTTAAGGTAGCTCTGTTCCAAACGCACATTAGAGTTGCGTTATGTTGGCTGCGGACTCAGCTGTTTTGGGCAGTTTACGGTTTGATATCGATACATTAGTCAATCGATACTGCATCAACAACACTACATGCCTTGCAGTGTTGGCAACACTGTGCCCATTTTGTTGTGAATTATTGTTAATTTTTTAATTTAATTTGTACAAATTGTGCATACGCGTGCAAAGTCAGCGAAACACTTGCGACTTAAGTCCAGAATGTGCCAGTTTCTATAAACAGCTAAAAACAATAGAAAATAAACGAGCGCGCCCAATCGAAACGTGTTAAAAAATGACCATGGGCGAGCGTGAGCCAACTTCGTCTCTCGTTCTGCCCGTTATACTGAGGCCCATTTTCACACAGGTAAGTTGGTTCACATAGCCCGAGACTCGATAAGAGCGACGTGGGGGGCGTTGGCGTTGCCTGTCCCAGTTTGTAATGTAATGTTGCGTAAACGTAAATTGTTTACAGCTCGAGCGACGCGACGTTGGCGCGGCGCAGTCACTGCGCTCGGCCATACTAAAATCGGAGCAGAACAATCCGGGCTTCTGTTATGACCTCGTTGCGTCGATCGTGCGACGCGCCGATCTAAATGTCAACTTAAATGAGGCCGTCTTGCGTTTGCAGGGCAACATCACGGAGGCAGATCGTAAGTACAAACACCTGCACACAAGACTGCGATGGTGTGTGTGTGTGTGTGTGTGTGCAAATGCGATTGTTTCCATTTGTGTTCATGCATTTTGTTGTTTTTTCTTTGTCCCAATATGTGGCGCAGTTAATGAATATCGCTTGACACGCACAGAGGAGCCGTTCCAGGAGCTGAATCGCAAATCAGTTGCACTAAAAGTGATACTCAGTCGCATACCAGACGAGATCAACGATCGCAAGACCTTCCTTGAGACCATCAAGTAAGTTTTGATTCCACGTTGAAATCCATGTGTATATTAACCCCATTTGTTTGCAGGGAAATCGCCAGCGCCATAAAGAAACTGCTCGACGTGGTCAACGAAATTGGTTCGTTTATACCGGGCGTCACTGGCAAGCAGGCTGTCGAGCAGCGTAAGAAGGAGTTCGTCAAATATTCAAAGAAGTTCAGCACAACGCTGAAGGAATACTTCAAAGAAGGACAGTAAGTTGGCTCATTGTTATCTTTAATTATGTTGGCGCCGTGTGTAAACGGCATAACGGAATTCGACTCACTATCAGCTAGTTTCTTAAATCGTCTGATATCTGGTTTCTTATCTTGCCTTGTGCTGACCGTACTCCGTACACATGATGTCATCCCATTCGCGTTCCAAACTTGTTTATCTATCAGTTTAATAGTAGAAGTTCGTTGACTATGTGCGCGTATTGCATTTATAGTCGTACACAAATCGCATTAATCACTATAAAAGTCTTCAAGGCGTTGCCGTGATACATATTTGTTATGGAAATCGATCGATTGAATATATTGTGATTAATTCGCATTGTGTTTTCGCTAATTGCACTTTTAACTTATGTTTTCATTTCTCTTTTCAGACCGAATGCAGTATTCATAAGTGCACTTTTTTTAATAAGGCAAACGAATCAAATTATGCTGACAGTTAAGAGTAAATGCGAGTAGAAAATTAAATGTTTTAATTAATGCAAAACTTAGTGGCATTTTAATTTTATGTTTAAATAACTATTAAACACAACACAACAAACTAATAAAAAACTAAAACAAAACACAACAAATAAGCAAGGAACACAATTTGCAATAGGAATCCATAGTCGCATACTAATGAGCCGATAACAGCGAGAGTTTGCTCTAATTAAAAACAAAATGATAAATAGGCCTAATGTATTTAAATAATTGTAATCACAACTAAATTCCAATACAAAAGCAAACGCAAAAACAAAATGAAAATCTAAAATGTTAGCAATTCGAATTTGAACTTAATTTTTTTTCATTGTATTTAGTCAATTGTGCGCGCGTGTCTTTTTTGTTTTGTTTACAATTTATTGTAAATAATTCATTCGCTTTCTGTTAATATGCTCATATATATTTGCTTGTATTAAGGAAACGCGAACATAAATAAAACTAAACATAAATTTAATGTTAGCAAAAAGAAAACAAATACGAGACACAGGAATGTTCTATGAAAAAGAAGATTAAACACTACAAAAAAAAAACAATTGAAATTTTAACTGTTTTTAATTGTTAGATTTGAAATTCAAAACTTTACATATAAACAATAAACTTATTTAATGATATGTTTAACTTGAAAACGCTAAAGACATTAGCTGAGAACGCTAGCAAGCAAGAAGAAAAAATTATTTTATTTTTAATAAATGTTATATGAAAAAATTTAAAAAAAAAAGAGACGTAAAACTCATATTGTAGAAATAGGAAAACAAACGACAAATAAATGTATTTATATTCAAAAATTGCATTTTCTTACAACTAACATTTGCTTCAGACTGTAAAGCAGTTAACAGTAACAGCGCCTTAACATTTGCAACCCCGAAAGAGAGTCAAAGACGCGCCAATGCAAAAACTTAGAGAAAATTTCCCATTTTTCAGTGTCATTTGACAGAAAAATCGATTCGTTTTCACACTGGGCCATTCTGGGCAGGCAGTTGGATAGAAATCAGAGTACAAACCAGCCGAGTAGCGCGACCGAGATGACCCACTTTTCGGTTTTCGCATTCAAAACTAACTGCTATACCAAATAAAATTGCAATTTTTTTCTACACTAGCATTTAGTTAAAGCGCGTTGTATATCATGTAAAACTTAAATCCGTTAACTAGTGTAAACTCTATGCATTTATGTAAATTCTCGAAGGCTAATGTGGATGTGGAAATAGGCGACCTGAAAAATCAGCACTTCCCACAGCAATCAAAAAGCAGCAGCAAAAAGGTTCGCTAAATGTTCGAGTTTTCGTTTTTGAACTATTCAGTAAAGCTTTAACGGGTGTCGCAATCTTGTGCATTTTGATAATTGAAAACAAAAAGTTGGTCAAACCAGTCCCGAAATTCAGGACGACCACTGAAAAACGATGGCTGCCAGTGGCAGTGGCCTGGCGAGCGAACGGGCATACGAAAAATTTCGCTGTACACCAAATGGGGAAAATGTTTTCTCAGCAGCCGATGAACTCGCCCCACTGCTGCTTGGGGCATGTGTAACGTGAAATGTTTGCATTGTTCTAACGAAAAGAAGAGGATTTTGTAAAAAAAAACAAACAAACAATAATTTATAACGCGTGTGTAAACCAAAAAATTGAAATTTGAAAGTTTTCTAACATTTAATTTCCAGTGTTAAAAATTGCATTTTACGAAATGGTAAAAGACATAAAGGGTGATGTGAAAAGTAAAAGTGTTAGCGATTGCCACTGAGACTTCGGCAGTGGCATATCGATGAAACGATAAAAAAAAGCTAGCAAGCTAACGTAAAAGTTACACACATTCACACACACACACACAGCGAGGGTATGAATACAATTTCATACATTTGTGGGAATGTATGTGTGTTAATGTTATGCTGCTGCATATGCTAAAATGCATAAAAAGTAGCTCAAATTGTCAAACTGCATATGTGCAAAAAGAAGCGCGCACACACTTTGAACGGTCAGTGGAAGTGGAGCACGGCAGCAGTTTGCGGTTCATAGGACTGCGCGTATACATATGTGTGAATGTGTGTGAGTTTCATATTCATAGTCGCAGTAACAGCCGCAGTCGCAGTAGCCATGATAGCAGTAGCAGCAGCAGCAGCAGCAGCAGCGGCAGCGGCACAAGATAAATGAAAAGTGCCACATTTTGCTTTTGGGGGCGGTTTTGACACTTGGCGCGCAGCAGCAGCAACAACAACAGTTAGCCCGCGTGGGTGGCGTAAAAGTTGTTTGCTGCTCTGCGTGCGTAACAGAAAGCACAATCAGTTATGTACAAATATATACACATACATATGTACATAGAAGCCGTGAAAGAGTGAGGGACCAAGAGCAGCGGCGGTTGGGGGCAGGTGTTTGCCATGCGGTTCTCTTCTGTCACTCGATGTGCGTGTGTATGTGTGTGTGTGTGTGTGTGCATGTGTTTGTGTGTGTGTAAACAGCAACAGCAACAAAAATAACAGCCAAGTCGACTGTGCCTAAACGCTGTAACAACTATTTTTGGATTTATTCGCAATTTGTATTTCCGTTCATTTATTAGCATTGTTGTTCTTTGCTGTTCTCATTATATTCCGCTTAAGTATGTAGATTTATAAAACGTTTTCATTATTGGCAAATGCAACGATCTAATGTCACGCGTTGCCCAAAAAGAAAAAGTCAATATCCGCGTGTGTGTGTGACAGAATTAATCGTGCAGCATGTTCCGATTTGACATGTGTGTATCATTCAATGGCATATTTTCTAAAAAAAAAAAAAAGAAGTAAGAGATGGTGGCACAATCGGGGCTCGATTTTACACATTTCTTCCGCTTTGCCCAAAAAACTATGCTACATTTTGTGAGTGTGTGTGCTTTTGTGACCCGCATGACTTCTGTTCCCAGCACCATGTGCTATGCGAGTGTGAGAGAGAGTGTGTGTGTGGCTTGTTATAAATAGGCAAGATAGTTTTTGTGCTGTTTGGCTCCTCTACGTCTCTTTAGATTTTTTTTTGTGCTATTGAGGTCAAACTGTCAGAAGGATAGTGAACTTTATAAAATTTCAAAAGCTAAATTGGTTAACTTTAAAGAGGTTTTTATGTACACACAAGTAGCTCCTGTCAATGGGGGCGGGTGCTTAAAGTTGATTAAATGTGTTGTATTGTGGACCACAAAGCTCGTCTCTTAACTAACTAAACGGACTGAATATAGTCATTTCTGCTTCTAGCTATATATTCTCATTGGTTTATTTTAAAGAATGTTCTTGTTTATCATCCCAATATTTCTATATTAATGACTGTTTGTCCTTACTGACTGACTGCCCGATGGACTGACTCATTTGGTAATTGACGCATAGCTCAAGCCGTAAGAGCTAGAATGTTGAAAATTTTACTCTAGTTATCTCTCGAATATTTCCGGCCTTATGCTCATTTTCAAAGCTCTACATAAAAAGAAAAATACTTGTCCTTGATTTTTGAAATCCACGGGAGTATTTGTATTTGTTTTCTATTCAACCGACTTCAAAATTATTTTCAAATATTTATGAAAATTATATTTAAAATTAAATAGCAAATATTTATATCAAAACTTTTAAGAATATACTTGGTCCAAAGTCAAGACAAATCTATGCACGTGGTTCAGCTCTGAACTTGTATTCATGTGCCCTAAAAAGTATGCAATGAAATACATATAAGGCGAGTGCCTTCTGCACTCAGTCAATATGCAGAAAAAACTACTTTCTGCTCGTTTATTTTGAGCTAAAGCGAGAAACTTAAACCATATGCAAATTTATTGGGCTTCTCGGAAAACTTCTGTGCCACGAATTTCAATGCAACTGGCAAGTTCATAACCACAACGTTCTGTTTATAATTTTATTTTTTATTCAAATTGAAGTACACCAAAAGTAAACGTGCCAAAAACCAAGAACGTTTTTAAACTACTTTCAAGCTGGCAGCAGTTTAAATTTTAATGACCCTTCAACTTTGCCCTTTGGCCTTTGTAGTTTTAATTAGGAATATTTTCAGTGTTTGCCACAGACATCCATCAAATTTGCGCATACAACACATAAGACACACATGAAATGGAATTAAGCCCATGTGAATTTTCCATTTAATTTACTCGAATGGCAATTGCCGAAAATTGGGTTAATAGACTGTAAAGTAGCGTCAGGCTGCAACCTACATTCAATTGGGATTGAGTTTGGGATGTGGGCCAGGCAGAAGCAATAAGACAGCAAAGAGGAGAAAGAGCGGGCGGGTCGTGTGGCTAATCCGTACTCGGAGAACTCATTAAAATTTAAAACAGTTGCCAGCAGCTGATGTTGCTGTTGTGTCTTTATTTTGTCTGTTGCTCATCTACTTGTGCCAACTAAATATTTAATTGTTTAACTGAATTCTTAAGTTTGTAGACCTATTTGACCGTTTATGTTGAGAATAAACGAAATGAATAGCACTTATTGTTATGTACATGACTGGGGATATACCTAAACAGACATGACCAAGATACAGATCCTCGTGCTCCCACTGTTGACCATCAAGCAAATTATGAAAAATACTAGTGAAAAGTAAAGAAAACCCTCCCACACGCATAACGCCCACTTCATAATCATAATTAAAAATTTTTGCGGTGCCCAGACATAAGGACAAACAGCGCTGTTAACCCATTTACATGTCGACCGTCTGTTAACATGATGCCATTGCGCATGCGCCAGTGTTGGTAAATTGCAATCTCTTGCTGGGACTTTTACTCACGCATCATACGCTCTAACCAAAGCTGGGGAGCACATAACTCAATCACCGAAACTCGCGCCCACTCACACAACGCACAGACAATGCTGCCATCTTGTTCGCACACTCAAATTGCTGTGCATACTTTTGCAGTTAAGCCAAAGCAATAAACGACATTGTTGCTGTTGTTGCTGCTGCTTTTGCAGTCGTACACACACACACACACACACACACACTGTTTCATGGGAGCAGTAGCAGAGACAGTCGGAGCACTGTGCATAACAGCAACTAGTGGCCGTAATGAGACTTTGCTGCTGTTGCGCTTCGCATTTGACTGCGCTCCGCTGTGCTGCACACACGTCTCATTATAACGCTATCAGCAAAGTATACACACACACACACATCCACACTTAGAAAACTGTAGTGAAAAAACACAGTTACTATAAATAACTGCAGCTGTCTGCTCAACTAATTGTGCTGCATTAAGTTCTTCAGGCTATGATTTGATTTGATAAGCAAAATGTTGTTAATATCTAGTGTCTAGTGCTTCACTCAATGGACAGAAAGTACATTTTGAGGTAAGCTATATCCTTGATATTTGTCAAAGAACATGCAATAAATGAACCTGAGAGCTGTTGCTGGCACCACCGGAAGGGCGGCAAGTAAATGTCACAGCCCACCTGCTGGATGCTGTCATGAACGCCCACAGATGGGCGGGGCATCTATCGACAGCAGCATCAGGATAAACCTTGTCATTGCTTTTAAATGTCAAGGGGAAACACGGGCGGGGTAGATAAAACGTCAAAAGTGGTTTCGTACAACATCGCCATCGACAGATGGATGCAGCTCTATGTGGGTGGCGCGTGTGCTTGTGGAAAAGTGTATTAAAAAAATCATCGCTGCGTTTCGTATCCATTTTACTAAATTTCCCGTGCACAGCATAGACCGCAAAGTGATGCAAATTGAATTTCCTCAGCGATTTATTATTGCATTTAAAATCCAATATAGCTCTGAGAGCCACTAAAGGAAATACAGCCTGTTTGAGCCGAGCACTTCAAACCAACATATTCCTACGATTTGCACTTTCATATTCATTTGCGACTTGTATCATTTGCTCTTTGCCCGTTGCATCGTTTTTCTGTTGTCTAGACAAACTGGCGCGTGTCTAATACCCTGTACCTGTGGGTATCAGCATAGTCTTAACAAAGACGAACTATATAAACTTAAATGTGGTTTGTGCTTTTTGAAAGAGAGATTTTTTTTCGATATACTATATTGACGGTATACTGTATTAAATCGGCTGATTATACTGATTAATGTATGTATATACTTAATGGGGTCGGAGATGTCTCCTTCTATGCGTTAAGCATTTCATGACAAAATTATAATACCCTCTAAGAGGGTATTAATATACAGACGGCATTATCCGACTGTCTGTTTTTCTATGCAAACTAGTCTCTCAACCTTAGAATATACCAAATTGCATAGGAATGATCGGTAGAAAATGAATTTGTTGTATGAAAAACTAGTTTTTTTTCTGGATAACCAACACAGACACTTATAAGTTTCAAGATCAAGATATTAACAACATATTCATAATATACTTACCATTTAACTTTATGGGAAAAATTAGTTTTTGTATGCACAAGTTTTCTGATTTTTAAAATATCTTGACCAAAATCCGTTCGTTTGTCGTCTGTCCATATTAACAAAATTTTGTCAAATATATACGCATGTCACGTCAGATAAATTATTAAGATTATAAGGTTCGTCCCCTGGGACGTGGAAGAGCCTAAGTTACGAAATGTAGAATGAAGACTTAGAAAGATCAAAACAATTAATAAATTAGGCTTGCTCTTAGTTCTTGTTGGGCTGTGAAACTGCAACATTATTTCCTGTTTGCCTTATCTTAAGATATTTTAATAATCTATAAAATTACATAGAGCTTAAGCCTTGATTAATGTCAAGGGATTGATAAGAGGGTATTTCAATATTTGTCAACTTTCCATTTTTGTACTTGTTCCTCATACCACAGTTGTTTTTATGCCGCCACGCGCCTAACATGGCGTATGAGTAATACAATTGACTGTATGATACATATGCATGTGTGTGTGTGTGTGTGTGTGCGTGTGCGTGTGTTCCTGTGCGAATGTGTGTGCTTGCAATGGCAGACAGTCAAATCAAAGCATTAGATTGCAGCAAGGGTGAGACGATTAGAAGAGAGAACGTTTAGCATATCTCACTTGCACGCACGGTTACGTGGCGTATACGTAATATGGGAAATAACAGGGTAAGCTCTATGAATGCAATTTTAAATCAAGCACATGACCATTTGGGAAGTATTTTTGAATGAACGTGACGTTTATTGTGTGTCGGCCTCGAAATGCGGTCACAACGGTAATTAACCTAAAGTTCAAAGTTCAAAGCGCACACGTTTGCCAAGTTCTGTGTGTGGCCACGTTCCAATTACAGTCAAGCAAAGCAGTTGACCCATTTCTATAGCTTTTCAACATAAATAAATAAGGCCAAAAACGAGCAATAACCCTTCGTTTGCTGCCACCCACGGGGAGATTTATAGTTAAGATCGGAGCCCAGATTGAGAGACGTTTGCTTTATTTATTCGCAGTCGTCGCAAGGGCAGCCACAGCATGCCGTACGAGTCGATGCACCATCATCAGTCGGCGGCCGCTGCAGTGGCCGCCGGCGTAGCGCCAAATAGCGTGCTGGACTCGCTCAGTTTGCAGCTGCGCGATGCGGAAATGCGACGCACCGAGATCGAACGGGCGCACCAGGTGAGTTACCACCTCCCATGATTTATAACAATCAAGCTTAAATTTCGTGTGCCTCTTGTGGCAGGAAACTCTGGCACAAATACGCAACCTGAGCGGCAGCGCACGTCCCGACACCGAGGCGGTGGAGAATCTGCAGTCACGAGCTCGGGAGCTGGAGAAGAAGGTGCGTAACCTGTGGCAAAATGTGCCAATGTGAAAAATGTTGCACACAACTATAATTCTATTGTGTTTGCTTTTAGGTGGCGCTGGAAAATGTGCACTGTGAGGAGCTGCAAATTGAGCTGACGGCCGCACTTAAGTCCAAGGCATCACGTGCAAATGCTTCCCATATGGGCAGCTGTCCATCGTCATCGGCCGCGACATCCCAACACGGGCCATACCAAGGTGCAAATATACCAACATCGGCTAGCAGTTCCACCGTCACATGGGCACCGACAATCAGCCACCAGGACCAAGGCACCGAGATTGATATAATAATGGCCAAGATCGAACAGGTAAAAATACGTTTTGAATAGTTGACTCAGTTTTTGTTTATATTGTCGAGCATAAATAAGTTAAGAACAAAGTAACATTAACTGCCCCTTACTGCTGCGCCTCTGCTCATTGAAGCTGCTCTCCCTCCATTTCACTTATGGTCGAGTTGTCTGTCGACTGACATTCATAGCCGGACGAGAAACAAGTCAGGAAACTTCCAAAGCTATCCGAGCTGCTGGTGTCCGAGTCCAAGACATCGCCAAACTCAATCTGAGTGCTGGTCTCGGTTTTTGGCGGCAGGCCCTGCTTGAAGTAGTCCTTGTCAGTGGAACTCGCGAAAATCTGTAGCTTGCGGCGCATCTCTTCATTGTCTTTGGTCAGCTGCTGAATAATGCGCCGATTCTCTTTGCTATTGTCCTCCTCCAGACTGACACTGTGTATCATGATTGCAGTCATCTCCTCCAGACGAGCGTCCAGATTGTTTACAACGTTCTGCAGCTTGCCAATGTATCTTTCGCGCATATTAAATCTCTCGCAAAGCATATTGCCCTTGCAGTGCTCTTTGTACTTCTGCATAATTTGCTGAACGCCTTCCCGGTACTCGAACACGGCTTGCTTCAGCTCGGCATTCTCAAGCAGCTGCTGGATACGTTCATTGTCATTACAATATTTAACCAGATTTTTTAGTAATTGATCATCCTGCACTCCGCAACAGTCGATGAATTTCTGTTCCGCATTTTGACTGTCAGCCAACAGACATGTTGTCTTCTGTAGCAAATCGTTGAAGTCACCCGAAAGCTTCTGTGCCTTGATTATCAATCCAGTTACTGCATCCTGGACCTGGCTCATGTTGTACACGTCGAATTTTAATATTTTAGGCCAACTTCAGATCTCTTCCAGCTGTCGAAAGCACTGACAATGAACAGACACGAACAATTGCTGCCAGCCCTGTAGTAAAGTGATTAGTCACATCGACTAAATCAACTCTCACTTAGCCTACCTGGATCGTGTCCGAAATAACTAAATAGTAGTATAAATAGCAGTTATATATATTTGATGACTTAAGGTTTAAAAACGGTTCCGTTTGAATCAAGTTAAAGGAATTGGTAGTCAAAGAACAATTTTTACTCTGACCCTGAAATTTAATATGCCAAAATCTACATATAAATCTTTTGAACATGTTTGATTTCAGGATAATCGCGTTTTGGCCGAGCTGGAACAGCCGCGAACCTCAGCGAGCGCCAGCATGTCAGCGTTGCCGCACAGTTCCATGATGGGCATGGGAAATAGCGAATTTAGAACCATATCAAAGAGTGGTAAGTCGGCTTAATACGTTAATACTCTAGGAAGTGTGTATGTAATTCATGGTGGTGTTCGTAGAACTCGAAGAAGAACTGAATCGATATAAAAGAGCAGTATTGGGCAGCGCATCGGGCGGCGGTGTGTCAGCCCTATCGTCCGGCTACTCGAGCCTGCCGCAATCGCTGGCCTCCACGCTGGGCAATGGGGCCAGCACCAGCCTGAGCGGCACCAGCGTTGGCTCGCAGAGCGTTGCTGCCACCGCCGGCATCGGCGTCGGCGGTCTTTCATCCATATCGGCCATGGTGCCCAACTCAATCAGCGGCATATCCTCGAGTCTGAGCAGTCAGGCCATCCAATCACTGAATGCGGCTGCCTACGGGGGTGGCCAGAGCTCCGTTGAGAAGCTGCTGAGTGGAACTAGTGGAATAACTGGCATTCCACCATTGCCGGTAAATATTCACACGATGAAGGCTATGCCAACGGCATTAAGTCAGGTAAACCAACTATTTTCAATTGCAATGAACTACAAGCAACAAAAACGAAAACCCAACAAACAATTATTAAATGCAATTAAATTAGCTATTTTAAACCAAGCAATATCGCTTTTAAGCCTGGCATACGACATGGCTTTGGCTCTCCTTGGTGATCATCTGCTTCAAGTAGCCTTCGTGTTTGTTTATTTGTTGATCATCAGTGCTAAACCAAGAGGTATTGCGACTGCCGCTCGCCGTGTAACTAAATCACATTTTGTGCTTTGTTGTAGTTTCATTATTGAAAATAATTACATAGTCACATCCCACATACCACATATACATACATACACACAGACCAACACACATTACATAGCGTTTGACATACCTACTAACACATTAACTTTGAGCAAAAACAAATCTGGGTATTTCCATGTATTTCCATTACTCATATAATTACTTTTAAGCTAATATTTATGGAGCAAAAAAACTCCATGAATATTTGCATATCTGTGTAGTGTGTTTAGCAATGTAGTCTTCATATTTGCCTTTTCAAATTTCAATTGAATTGTTTCTGTTTTATGTTGTTAACTATTTCAAACGCATGCATAAAGGTTTTATGCACAATTAATTGTTTATTCAATGTTAAGACTTTAGTCGACCTATATTTGTTATGTTTAAATGATTTAAAATCCGAAAATATACGTAAAAATATTGAATAAAATAGAACTTTTACCTTCGGATCGCCAAACATTAAATATCTTTGCAGGTATATATGGCAGATATGCGGTATATTTCTAAGTTTACTTATCATACACAACAAAATAGAAAAGCATCTTTCGAAAAATTTCATTTCATGCTTCCAAAGGGAGGTCAGATACTAAGCCACATATTATTTAGGTCTTCCTAGCTGGTAATGAGGGAATGTTGTTTATAAGAATTCTATTTATGATTTATTGTTGCTAAGTAGTAAGAATGTGATTTTAATTGTTAGCTCTAGGAGCTTAGCCAAGTTCTTGTTTGTTAGCTTTCTTTAGATATCAAAACCAAAAGAGTGTAAAACAAATACTCTGTGTTCGATCGGTAATTCCCTGGGGGGTTCACTTTTTAGAATAAGACGTATCTCAATTAAGATAGTTTAAGACAGGCTAAGACAGCTTGCATAGAAACAGATTTAGAAACAAACCAGCTTATCGTCCAGATCGGGAAGACATACCTGATGAGTTTGCGAATGCCTTTCTCAATGCGTAACATCTTTAGACTCAAAACAATAATATCCACTGCGAGAGTAGTCAAATTGTATAGAAGAATCTTTGCATGACTTATTACTGATTTCACCTATTTAAATATTTCACTGATATACCGAACATGCCTCATAGCCCCATCTCTTCCATGCACAGCACACTATATATTTACATATTTAACCAACTGAAAGTACAAATATCAAATTAAATCTATATCAAAAAAAAAAAAAACGCTTTTCGTTTCGATGTTTAACTGCAAATACATTTTTAATGGAATATTTTTCATGTCAGTTGCTTTGAAACGGCTTCAGTTCATAAATCAATTAATATACTCATATCCTATTTAACAAGTTCGTCTGCGCCGTTATTCACAACATGTTCAATAGAGTTTTCAAATAAGTTCTCATAGCTAATATAATGCTGTTTCTAGTTGGCTTCTTCATATATATTGACCAATAAACGTGTACTTTGTGATCTCTTTTCCCATTTTATGTGCTCTTGTCTCTCTCTCTCCTTCTCTCTTTCATTCTCTCTCTTTCTCTCTGTATTCTCTTTTTGTCTTTTTGTACAATAACTCGTATTTCGATTCGTTCTCTTCCCTCTCTGCTGAAACTTGCGGTTTACCTTGCAAACTATACGAATCCTCTGCAATCCATGTGTTTAAATGTCTCTCTCTGTGTGTGTGTGTGTGTGTCTATGCAATAACTATCTTAACCCCTAAAACGCCCACCTATACTAATACACTAACCGTCAACAACCACAACAACAACCAAACACAATGTTAATTGACAAACCAAACCCAAAAAAAAAACTGAAACCAAAAATCTTGTCAAAACAAACTTGAAATTGAATTGAAATTGAATTTGAAATTGAAATTGAAACAAGAAGCGCGGAACAATACAACTGTACAATTTACAGAGCACAACCATGCCCCTCCTGTCACTGAACTCGCATAATCTGCCGCCTGGCGGCTCGACCAGCTACTCGGCCCTGGGCCTGAGCGGCGGCAGCGGCATGGTGGGCAGCTCGCTGACCCATCCCACCATGAGCAATATCAACATGCTCGACACGAGCGCCCTTCTGGGCCTGGGACCAGTCGGGGGTGGCATAACGGGCGCCACTTCGCTCTATGGCCTGAGCGCTGGTGCTGCCGGCGCCCTTGGCAGCTCGTATGGGCCACCATTTATGGATGCCGCCTCGAGCGCCTCGTATCCATTCACATCGGCTGCGCTGCGACAGGCCACCAAGATGAAAATGCTGGACGAGATTGATATACCGCTGGGGCGATATGGCAATCGCAGCTCACCATGCTCACCCATTCCCATGGGGCACAGCAGCTGGGGCCTGGACGACTTTACCGATGGTCTGGGCGCCTCCATAATGCACAATCGCAGCGGGCTGGCGCTGGGCGCCCTCGATCTGGACAGTGAGTATAGCTGCGATAATTGGCCAAAAGTGAATCGTAAATGGCATCTCCTCTCTCAGCTCGCAACCACGCACTGAACGGCGCCAGTGAGCCCCAGGTGGATATGTTGGACATACCGGGCAAAGGGCGCTGTTGCGTCTTTATAGCCCGCTTTCCCTACGATCCGCCAGAGTAAGTGACCTTAAGATTTGCCACATTTTCATAGCTGAACTGGATTAAATATCCCTTTCCAGGGAGGCTGAGGGCGAGCTTTCACTCTGCGCCGGCGACTATTTGCTGGTTTGGACCAGCGGCGAGCCGCAGGGTGGCTATCTAGATGCGGAACTATTGGACGGAAGACGCGGCCTAGTGCCCGCCTCGTTTGTGCAGCGACTTGTGGGTGAGTTGCAGCTCGAAAGCCCACTCCAAATGGCTGCATTTTAATGGCGCATCCTCCTTGAACAGGCGATGATTTGCTGGAGTTCCATCAGGCGGTTTTGTCGACATTGCGCGACGCCGAGGATGGCTCCATGCAGTGCGACACAACGTCGCTGCCTTCCTTGCCGCCGCACAACCCATTGCTCACACACACGCACGAGGATCTGGCACGTTTGAGTGAGACGCACACCGATCTGGAGCACGACCAGGATGACATTAGCGATAATGGTAACTAAATATTGCCTATATACTAGACTCTATCATTTTTAATCTTTTGATTTGGTTTTTGTGGCCATTCGAATGCGTCGCCTGCCATGGCACATGTGAGCATACCAATTTTTTGTATACCCTAAATGTAGAGACGCACTGGATTAGGCTAGACACAATTAAAGAATCGAATGAAAATACTTGAAAACGAATACAAACATATCTCTTCTTCTTTTTTTGCTTTGCTCCCATCAGTTCCAGCTCCGAAACACTTGACGCTGGAACGGCAGCTGAACAAGAGCGTGCTCATTGGCTGGTCACCACCAGAGCCGGTGGGCTACAATCTGATCGATAGCTACCACGTCTATGTAGATGGTGTGCTCAAGGTCACGGTGAAGGCCAACGAACGCACACGCGCTCTAATCGAGGGCGTCGACTCCACGCGGGTAAGCTCACAGTCAAGTAAAGGTATCTTTCAAGGATCTCATATATTTATGGACGTATTCTTCTTTCTCAGCCGCATCGCATTAGCGTGCGGAGCGTTACACAAAATCGTCAGACGTCCAGGGACGCCGCCTGCACAATGATTATTGGGCGAGATACTTCGCACTTGGGCCCCTCGGCGGTGCGCGCCTCGCACATAACGTGTTCCTCGGCGGTTATCTCGTGGCTGCCGGCCAACTCCAACCACCAGCACGTGGTGTGTGTGAACAATGTGGAGGTGCGCACCGTCAAGCCGGGCATGTATAGGCACACAATAACCGGGTTAGCGCCGAGCACCCAATATCGGGTGACAGTGCGTGCCAAACATTTGCGGGCCGTTGGCCAGCACACGCCACAAGCACCGGGCAGACCCGGGCAGGAGGAGGCACCTGGCGCCTATGCCGATTTTCGCACACTGACCAAAGGTCTGCCCGATCCGCCGCAAGACATCCAACTGGAGGCTGGTCCTCAGGATGGCACCATTCTGGTGACATGGCAGCCGGTAAACAGACCTACGTCCACGGGGCCTGTTACCGGCTATGCTGTGTACGCCGATGGTAAAAAGGTGACGGACATTAATTCCCCGACGGGCGATCATGCACTCATCGACATTGGCAAGCTGGGCGTCTTCAATCCTCGGGCCGTCACCATACGCACCAAATCTCGCGATTCACAGTCGGCGGACAGTGTGCCCATACTGATACCAAGTGGGTGCAGCAATATATGAAATCGAACCGTGAATCCATTAAATCTTTGCTTTTGTAGACAACGTGCGCAATGCTGTCGCTCGCCGGGGACCAAATCAAATGGGCATGGGTCCGCAGTTGCCGCAGCAGGGAGTCCATGGCATGCCCGGGCAGCAACAGCAAATGGGCATGCCTGGGCCGCAGGGCCAGATGCAGTCGCATATGATGGGTGGCCAGCAGGATCACACGCAATACGATCCAAACCAAATGCAGCAGCAGCAGCAGGGCATGCAGCCAGGCCAGCAGCCGGGCCAGGCCCAGCCGGGTCATCAGGTTAGTGAGTGCGCCACACCCAAATGCCAGCTGCCGACCATCCAGATCTACATATATGCGGATCAGTTGGCACTGGCATTCACTGTATATAAATACTATATGAATAATGTTCTGTGAACTCGTTTTCTTTATTATTTCGAAATGCAATTGGTTACGAGTTTTCCAAATTTCTATTTAAACAAACACCCATCTTCCACGAGATTGTACATAATGTTCTACGCGTGTAGATACAAATCGTACTCCATCCGATTTTGAATGCTTATCCCAATACCATAAAAAGAAAATCCTTTTGATTTGTATATACATATATACTGCTCTGCTCCATTCGAAGCAGCAAATGATGGTATGGGAAATTTCAAAATACATACATATACATTATATACTTAACCAACTTATGTTCAGTTGTTGTTTTTGGTTGAAACTTACACAAAACTTTCGAGTTCATAATGGATATTTTAAAAAGGAAAAGTATTCAATTTATCTATCAGCTACATACTTTCTATATCTTTGGTACTCTATTCGAGATCTATTATGAATTGCCTTTTTCTACTTGCTACTTTTCTACCTCTCCTCAAAAGACTGAACTAAAATCCTATTTTCTATGAATTTGTTTGCAAAATAACCACATTATATACATACACTATATGATATATTAGACAAATCGCACAAAATTCACACACAAAATTTGTAAAAATTATATATATACCCTATATATATATGAAATGAACTGTTGCAGAGAACTGTGAGAAAGTAATGCCAACGATTATATCTACTTATAAGAACCAAAGCAATTTGAGACCTACAACTAAATCCCCCCACCCGAAAAAAAAAGAAATACGAAAAGAATTTGTATGTATGTAAAGTTATTATTTATTTAGTTGATATTTAGGTTATGTGGACAGCGTATGCAGTTTTATTTTGCTAGTGTTTGTTCGAATTTTGAGTTGGGTTCATGATCTTTTTGAGTACAGTTCACAATAGCATGCTCCAAAATTGCTGCCAAATGCAATAATAATTAATCAATTTAATTGAGTTAATCAGTTTAAACAATAGAATTTAACATACTTCTATAAGTATTTGAGCGGATTGATTAAGGAGAACGCAATGCAACGAACAATTTTAAACAAAACAAGTTATACATATTCATTTTCATTATATGAAACCAATACTGAAACGATACCGTTAACCCGTTACCGAATACCATACCGAATTGAATCGAATCGAATCGAAAAACAGCCCGACGGAAGCTCCGGCTTGTTAGGTGGCCTGCTCGGTGGCCTCTTCTCGAAACCCACACAGAGTCAAGTGAACCAGAATGTAAGTTATACTGACAACATCTCTCACCTACCCCCATTTGTATTAAATCACACACCAACACACACCCTCACACACACACACACACACACACACACATAGACATAAGTTCAACTGTAATACCTTTGCCTAGAGTAATACTCTTTTTCATAAGAGTTCGCTGCATTTTTAGTCATACTTATGCCAACTTCTATAGCTTAACAAACTAATAACATATATAGTATGTACGAAGTAGAATATGCTTTTTCTTAAGCTTAAAAAAACAAAGTTAATGCTAAGTGCAATTACTGAGTTACATATTTTTTAACAATTTATAATTCATAAGTGGTTTTTTTTTAGCAATTTGTTTTTTTTTTTTTTCAATTTTATGAATAATTGCCTTTGTCTAAGGCAAACTTTCGCCTCTAGGAAAGTACGAAAAGTCGTGAATGAAATTGTTAAGATACTGCATGGTTAGCCAGGGGATCAAAAAAGTATTTAAATAGCTTAACAAAAGTATCTGAATGGTAAAATTAATACTCTGAAAATTAGTTTACCCCAAGCGAAGTTCAATTATGTATATTATTTAAATGAAACTTGCTTCCGAATAGTAAATAATCGACTGCCTGTTCTGACTGTGTTAGTCTCAGCGCCATCTATATGCAATATCAATAATAAATTTGTAATATACAATTTAAGTACATGTATGTAAGTATTGTGATAGAATAGTATACAGTAGGTTTTCATAATCGCAGTTCATATTAGAGACATGTGTTTACAATCAAACATACATATATACAACAGTTACAGGAACAAACCAAACATCTACATAGTTATTTCAACTCAAATTCGTGCTTTCTTTTTTTCTGAAAAACATTTAACAACTAGCTTCGTATTTGCCTTTGACCTATCAGCCATAGACTTTTGATTTTCCAGCTGTTTGTATTTAGCTCCTGCTTAATGCGCCTTTCTTAATACACGCCTTCCTCTACACACACACACACACACACACACAGACACATACGAGTACTGTTTACCTAGTATATACCATATATATTCATATAACCTCTTTAGTTGTGTCGAGCCTTAAAGCCATACGCAGACGCCCGCACATTGCTAAAGAAATTACCTGTCTATAGACAATGTGAATGAAAAACAGAGTACAAATTAAGAACAAACTTTGCGACAATCTAAAAAGAAGAAACGCTAACAAAATTTCAAATTCATTTAAATTAATTCAAATTCATGCGCGTGCTATCCTCGGTCGATTATTTATCGATAATCAGGGCTATCAGCCGGGCGCACCGCAGCGCGGCATGGTGCCAGGACGACCCCAGGGACCACAGCAACAGCAGCAACAACAGCCGTACGGGGCGCAGGGGCCAATGGGAGGACCCCGTTTTCGTGGACCCGTGCCGGGACAAATGGCAATGCAGGGTCAGATGCAGGGCCAGATGCCGGGACAAATGTCAGGACAAATGCAGGGCCAGATGCCAGGACAGATGCCTGGTCAAATGCAAGGTCAAATGATGGTTCAGCAGGGGCCGGGTCCACGCGGCCCACTCAACCAACAGCAGCAACAGCAACAGCAGCAGCAACAACAGCAACAACAACAGCAGCAACAGCAGCAGCAGCAACAAGGTCAAATGATGCCAGGGCAGCAACCAGGGCAACAGCAGCAACAGCAACAAATGGCCGGCGCACAGAAGAAGCCGCGCTATTTTGTGGCAATGTTTGACTACGATCCATCCACAATGAGTCCCAATCCAGATGGTTGCGACGAAGAGCTGCCCTTCCAAGAGGGAGATACTATCAAGGTAAGCTCTTTGTAATTTTGCTGATACACAGAACCACCAAAACACTTTGCAGCCGCAGAGCAAATGCTACCCACTTAGGCACCGGAGCTTGCAGTAACCGTCCACGGTAATAATGGTAACAAATCAGTAATCAGCAATCAGCATCAGATAATCCGGATATCAGCTAATCAGCGCTTGCTCTGAATTGGATGCCGAATTGGAACGAAGCCGAGAATTGGCTGCGCTTGCCGCTAATTGAATGAATGAATCTTGTGCATGTTTTTCCTTCGCCAATCCTAAGTCTGCCCCACCTTACAGTTGAGATTGTTATAAATACGTTTTAATACCCATATTAATAATTACAAATACAACTACTTACTTAACTAACTGTAACTACCAATACACCATACACCCACCCATACACTAAGTAGACGTTGTTCTCTTCTCTCTAATAGTTCCATAAATAACCGTTAAGTTAGCAATATGCACTCTACATCTACACTACCAACTAGCCATTATGAGTATATGCCCAGCTCCTTGACTGTCGGCCTTGCTAACACTCCTCCTCTCTTTCACGCTCTGTGGCACAGGTCTTTGGTGATAAGGATGCGGATGGCTTCTATTGGGGCGAGCTGAGGGGTCGTCGAGGCTATGTGCCGCACAACATGGTTAGCGAGGTGGAGGACACCACCACCCAAATAACCGGCGGCCAAATGCAAATGCCCGGCGGCATGCAGTCGACAACAACCGGGGCTGGCACCGCACAAGTTATGCCCGGTCAGAGCGCTCCGCAGCAGAGCATGCGGAATGTGAGCCGCGATCGCTGGGGTGACATCTATGCGAATATGCCAGTGAAACGAATGATCGCCCTCTATGACTATGATCCCCAGGAGCTAAGTCCGAATGTGGATGCCGAGGTGAGTAGCAAATGGAACAGTTTTCAGCAGCATTCACCTGACTCTCATATATACCCTGCCTACCTAGCAAGTGGAATTGTGTTTCAAGACGGGTGAAATTATCCTCGTCTATGGTGATATGGATGAAGATGGCTTCTTCATGGGCGAACTGGATGGGGTACGGGGCTTGGTGCCCTCAAATTTCCTGGCCGATGCGCCCGACCAGTACAACAATCAAATGGGACCGGGCGGCGCCGCTGGGCGTGGCAGCCTCAGTCAGCGGGGTCGGGGTCAGGGACCCGGCGCTAGAGGACCACCGCCGCCGCCACGAGATAACATGCTGCCCGGCGTTGCTGGGCAACGTGGTCCACAAGGCAAAAGTAAGTAGGCTTTGTGCTGATTAATTTGGTCAACGGATTTTGTGCATTTCTTATTTATTTTGATTTTTTTTGATTTTTTAATTATTTTCCTTTGATTTAATACAATTTTTACTAAATATGATACTAAAACTTATTCGAAAAGCAATTACAGGCTTACTATTTTTGATTTTCACTTCTGATTTGAGTTTTTTGTTTTTTTTTACAAAAAAAGAAGGAAAATCTCAAAGCAAATCTCTTAAAATAAAACACATACACTTTATAAGATAATCAAATATGCAGGTTTTTCAGACTAACTACACAAACAAACAAGCAGGATGATATTATATATAGCGACTAATCTTATGAACTATGTATATGTACTCAACTACAAGATTCCGTTGGTTTTCTTTTGTTCGTAACACCAATAGCATATATGTATATCTACAAATATATATAAATCAGCGAAAAATTAAACACTTATGAACAATACGATCATGCTCCAAAAAGAAACAAACAAATTTCGTGACGACACAAAAAATCTTTCACTCTTCTCTCTATCTCTCTCCAACTCTTTCGCAAAATTTCAAAAAAAAAAATATATATATATATATATAAACCAAACAGTTACAGATGAATAAATACAATTTCTGTTTTGAACGCCGCTAATTTAAAAAATATATATTTATTTAATTTCTGTTATGATTCCGCAGAACTTGTTTATAATGTTATACCACTTCTTTATATATATACTTATATATATATTTAAATTTTTTACTTTGTGAAATAATTCATAATTTCAGCACCTGTCAGTTTAATATTTCAAGAATCCTTTTATACATGTTCTTGTTTTTTGGTTCGAATCGATTTATATAAACCTTATCAAATACAATATATAGATACATAGTTGTTGTTCTTGTTGTTGTATACACAGTCTTTAAATTATCTCTCGCTTTCTCTTTGTTTCTTCTTTTTAGTTTTTTTTAATCGATCCATTCGTCATATACAATTATATTTATATACAATCGAATGATTATTGAGATGGAGCTTTAAGTCTTTAAGAATCCTTCCAAATCACTTAAAAACATAACACTTTTGTTCATATTTTTCCAAAGTACTTTCTTTACTGTCTATACACTTTTTGAAAATTACAAAATTGTTTCTACTTTTGTCTCTTGTCTTGCGTGACTTTCTCTATAGCCTTGCAAAATTTCTAGATGGTCTCTTGCATGTCATTTAAACCAAGTAAACTTAAGTGTGTTTATCATTTCCATTTGACTTTTAATCGGTTTGTCGTTTTGTTTTCGTTTAACCAAACAACTTAATTTGCATAAAACAGAGACTAGTTTCTTGCACCTGATTGTCGAATGAAATGTAATTCCTTAGTTGCTCACCGATCGATTATAGAGTCTGTAAAAACCATCTAGTTTTATGAGACAACGACTGATTAAATATATATGTCAACGAGAACCTGTAAATATTGAACGGGATTCACCGATCTAGTTCTTAGGATGGAATTCTTATTTACCCGAGCACATTACATATGAGTATGTATGTATGTCGCCAACTGTTCGTATAAGCCATGCTGTCGTGTGTGTTTTTTTTTTCCGCAGTCAAGCGTGTGTATCTTGCAGATAAAACTCTTGAAATCGAGTATATATATCTCTGGCCTATTCCTGGTTTCTGTTTCTGTTTCCCATGTGTACGATCTATTTTTGTGTTGCTTTTTTGTATTTTTATCTTTGTTAATAAATTGAATTTGATCTATTTTCATGTTGGTTTTGAATGTTGCCCCTGTTTGTTTGCTATTTAGCCAGTTTGGATATTTTTGATTAAGATTTTTAGTTCCCTAGAGATATAACAACAAAAACAACAACAACACTGCAGGGGCTTAAAGCACATATGAAAATATGATTTTCAAATGAATCTCTTTGTAATCTATGTACATTTCTAATGTAAAATACTAACGTTTAAAGTCCTTAACTTAATTATTACCATATATGCATATGTATGTTTTTTACAATATCATAAGCGCCATAGATGTGGCCAGCCAAGATATATTGTCTATCCTATGTACAATTGTTTTGTTTTGTTCAACAAATCTGAGATGCTGCTCTGTGCAGATTTCTATAGGGATTTATGTTTTGTAAGACCAGACGCCATGCGCAAAAGGTAATATTTATGCTACTTACATACATACATGATATTCATCAATTTTTTTTTAACAAATATAATTAACAAGATAATAATATGTACAATACTTTTAATCAAAATGAAAACAATTTTGTCTCTTGCCAATGTTCCTAGCGATCCATTACTTTTGGCGCCTTTTTCTCCGTTTTGTATTGTGTTTTCGAGAAATCGTTTTGCAAGCAGCCCAAAAATTTCCAATTTCAATGTCCCATAAATAATTTATTTTCTGATATTATTTCAATTGCATTTGGTTTATGTTTGATTTGGACCTTTTTTTTTTAATTTTCCTTTCAACTGCGGTGAATTATGTAAAACAAAACACCACGAAACTCGTTCTCGGACCTACGCGAATACGTTTCCGGTTCAGTATTCTATACGTAAGGCAAATCCTTAACAGGCAGCAGCTGTAACTCAAACTTTCTTTCAAATCTTTGAGACTAGATCTAGTTAACTTCTCTTGTGTTTAATTCATTTATTTTACTTATGTTTTTTTTTTATGTTTCTTAATTGTTTTTTTACTACTACAACTTCTTTCGAATAATTTTTTGTAATGGTCTGCTGTGGTAAATGTGAAGTCTTTATGTTATATTCGTTGCTATAGATGCTCGCCCTGCTTCCCCTACACTGTTAGACAACACGGGCCACCCTGCCCCCGATCACCAAACGCAGGTAAATACTCTTTCTCTTTTGTTTTCTTTTGTTTGAAATAAATACTTGAAGAAAAAATTAAAAAAAAAAAAAGAAGAAACATATTCTCCTTTGTTTTGAAAATAAATGCTAAAAAAAAAACAATACTCAAAAGAAAAAGTTAAGAAAGCGCAAAAATATATATAACCACACCTCATACGCTACAAAAGCTACAGATACTATTATTATTAATACTACTACTACTACTACTACTACTACAACTACAACTACTACAGCTAAAAGTAACTTGCTATCTCTGTCGCTCATTTGGTTTTGGTTCTCTTCCCGAAAACAATCAAGTGTTATACACAAACTCACTCATCCAAAAACAGATGCATTATGTTCCCACTCATACATACGATCTGGAGACTCATTCTATGCAACATCAATAATCGAGTATCTGATACCTAATTCAATCCCATGCCTACACGGTTCATAAATGTATTTGTATATTATGTTTTCATGAATTGATCGTCCATTGTTTTCGTCTCGCTCGCTCTTTCTTATTGCTAACGCATACGTTTCATACTCAATTACTCTGTCTATATATCTATATATATCTAAATATATACTCATTCACTCTCTATATGCTCTGGTAATCCGTCCAAAACGCTTACAGTACAGTACATGACCAAAATTATGCTTATCATATATAGAAGCGATATATGTACATGTTTTCAACTATGTATGTATAGCTAGCAACATGTTCTATAGAACCTCGCCTAGTACAATGAATAAGCCAACAGACCAACAGAACTAACAGAACCAACAGAACAAACATCATTATAAATATCAATAAATGTAAATTTCTGTAAACTAATCAGCATCAATCAAGCAAGCAATCGATCAATTAATCAAACAATTCGTCCGTGTACATTTACCTACATACATACATACATACGTATGATTGTTCAGAAAATACTTAAACTTAGCATATATCGTTAACCTGCATATGCCGCACATATTCTTAGTGTAATATGTAACTATATATGTATATATACATACAAATATATATGTGTGTGTGTATAGTCTGTAAATTGCATTTGCATTGCGGCAACGGCAAATACTTAGCTTCAGCTAGTCTTGAAAGAGGCATCATAGACAGTACCTACAGCACCCAATCATTCACATTTACTTATCTGATTTACTTACTTGATGTTATTCAATTTAATCCGTAATCGCAACAATTTTTTGGCATATTCTGTTTGTTTTTACATTATTTTGCATATTGTTTTTGGTAAATGATTCACTTGGTTTACCTAATTTAATTGATAAATACATACTTTTACACATTTAATTGCTAAAACTTCCTGATATAAATACAGTTTTCACAGAACTTTCAAAACTGGCGCCAATATCGATTAAAACCATTTTTGTTGTACTGTACATTTTATAGGAACATAAACAAATATCAGTTCTAGCTCTAAGGCTGTTTTTTTTATTTGATATATTTCTTGGGCTGGTAACTAGAGAGTGTGTAAATACATAAGTACACATGCAATTGATGAACGCAAACAAATTAATACCAGATACGAAATACACTTGGCCAAACGTACCTATCGCTGATAAGATGTGCTAACCCGTATACATACTCGTACTCGTACATAACCATATCTAAAATATATATTTAAATACTTTTTGATTTCCTTACTGCGTATACGCTACTAATTACATACATATATATTAATTGCTACTATTACTATATGGAATATTGGATGTAATGTGTACAAATTTCTATGTGATTCACTGTATGTGTAAACTATTCGATTTTCATTTCGAATCATTTATGTCGTTCGGTTTTGCCTATTCGTTTTATTTTATGCTTTCATTTCGGTTCGTTCTCTAGTATGCCTTTCTTTAACCTCCATAGCCATATATGATTTCTATGATTCACGAAATATCACAGTCTTCTTTTGTTTTATTTTATTTTATATGCTTTTTTGTTTTTGCGTTAGGCTACTTTTTGTTTTTCTTACAAAAGAAAACACCTAAGGTACGAAACCAAAAAAGAAAACTGGACGCTGATTGCACATCAATTTTGTGGAAGATTGAACACGAATAACTTCAGGCGAAACTTTCGAAAGGGGTTTTCAAAGCATTTTGCATACACATACACACATATACATATACATATACATATACACATATAGAATGGTTAAATCTTATTATTTTAGGTAGTGTACATACCTAGAATTCGCCAATGTCAACATTTTTGAATAGAGCTCTTATGTTATTCCCCTTTTCCCCCCCTCCAACCATTGATTTTTCGGTACATACTTGATTTGAACTTTGATTTTTGATTACTGCAAGTGTTTGCCAGTTTTTTGAGCGTACTTTAAGGCATATTTGTATATTCTTTTTCAATTGAGAAACGTTGCTAGTTCTACATAATTTTCACATTCCAATTAAATGATTTATCACAAATGTTGGCAAACTTGTACTGTCATTCGTTTTGCTTTCATAGAGGAAATCCCAAGAATCTCTCAAATGGAATACACTTTGATCTTTAGATATCAAATTTGCTTTGTGGCGATTGCTGTCAAATGGCAGAGCTCTGAGCAAAGCATATTTGGAATGCACTCTAGAGACTTGAAGATATTTCCGGTATTCGAGATTGTCAACTTCCTTTTCACAGTTTTAAATGAGGTTTGCCTTAGCCTACTATATATATATATTGACATATATCTATATATATACATACTTAGCAAATACGATACGTTGCGTAGTAGTTGATCGTAGTTGCAATTACTAGCTTACCAATCCGATCCCGTTATTTGACTAACTAACTAACTAGTAGGCGCGCTTGATGAAGCTCAGCAGCAACAACCTAGTTTGATTGAAAACAAAACAAAATAAATAAATACGCTAAATTCATGACAATTTTGAGAATGCATTCGTAACATCGTGCAAATGATTACGTATATAATGCCATAAAATACAATTATTTAAATGATTAGTTGCCATTTTTTAAAAGAGCCTTCAATCGTTTGGAACCACTCGACTAATTCGGTATATTTTGGTATATATTCGAATATGGCCAACTTGCAGATGATCGGCCGCGTTGGTAATGTTGGCATGCAGCAGCAGCAGCAGCATCAACAGCAGCAGCAACTCCAGCAGCAGCAACAACAACAACCGTATGGTCAGCAACAGACGCAACAACAGCAACATCAACAACAAATGGGCATGGGACAAAGTGGAATGATGGGCATGGGCCAACAGCCGATGGGCATGATGGGCCAGACACAGCAGCAGCAGCAACCGCAGCAGCAGCAGATGGGCCAGCAGATGGGTCAGCAGATGGGTCAGCAAATGGGCGGCATGGGCCAAATGGGCGGCATGGGTCAAATGGGTCAGCAGCAGCAGGTGCCTGTGACGACGCAGGCGCCAACGGGCGGACTCTTCTCCGGCGCAACTAGCCTGCTCTCTGGTGCTACTTCGGCTGCCACCGGTGGTCTATTTGGTTCGAAGCAACCACCCAAAACGGATCCAATGCAACCACCTGGCGGTGTGCAGCCAACGCAGCAACAAGCAAACGCCTTCGGTGCCCAACAAATGCAGCAGCAGCCTGGCATGCAGCAGCCTGGCATGCAACAGCCGGGCATGCAGCAGCCGGGCATGCAACAGCAGGGCATGCAACAGCAGGGCATGCAACAGCAGGGCATGCAACAGCAGGGCATGCAACAGCAGGGCATGCAACAGCCGGGCATGCAACAACAAGTGCCACCGCAAGCTCAGCCGCCGCCACAGGGGCCGGGCGCCGGCCTGCTTGGAGGCCTCAAGGGCATTGCAGCAGCGGCGCCCGGCGGCGATGTACTCTCGAAAGGCAAAGATCTATTTGGCAAATTTGGGTTCGGCTTTGGCAAATAACCCTGGTCATTCCATAGGGTCCTGTTATATTATTCGTAGATTAGACCTATTATTATGATTATGATTATTGCTATTAATTACGATTACTAAGCTAATATATACATATACGTATACACAATTATACAAAGATAAAGTTAAAAAAAAAAAAAAAAAAAAAAGAAGCAAAAAAACCAAAAGCAAAACCTATGAAAAATCCATGAATTCCCAGTCAACTGTGGGCCTATGTGAACGATGTTGTAATGTTGATATGATAAATGCAACTAATAGAACTAATGATAATATTTTTTATTAATACAATTGATAGAAATATTAATAATACTAAATGCTAAACAGACACAAAAGAAAAACAAGCAACATTCACATCACAAATAACTAAAAACTATTTAACAAAAAACACATAAATTGTTGTAAAATTGATTTAATATACATAAAATTTGCAGTTTAAGTAACTTGATAGCAAAGAAATAAATAAAAAAAAAATATATATATATATATAAATTGAAGATAAACACAACTAACTAAATGATAAAGAAATAGACAAGCGAAGCGTGCTTTATTGCAACTTCACATACACACATTCGACACACATACTAACACACACACATATATATACATATAACATATATGATAATATATATATATATATATATATACATATATACGTCTACTTAAGGGTGGAAGTAAAAATACATATATTATATACATATACATACATTATATTTACAATTATTTGTTAACGCACATTGTTAAATTTGCTACTGTTGCTGACCAGTTTATAAATAAAATACGAGTAAAAAAACAAAAACAAAAACAAAAACAAAACCCAAAAACTAAAAGTGAAATCCAAAACATACATATATTATATATATTTAAAATATATTAAAACCAAAACATAAAGAAAATAAAAAGCAAAAAAATTACACATTTAAATTAAGTCTATAAATCAAAACCTAATTAAACTAAAGGAAAGTTGAGCAATATAGATGGCGCTGGACAAAACCGAAACTATGCAGAAGTACTTATACATATAGAGGGGTTAACGATACGATACGAACCTATACATATACTACTACATATACTACATACACACATGCAAACACACATACATGCATATATGTATACATTTAAAGAAATTCATATGCCTGTTAAGCAAACATCTATTTGGCCAAGGGTTAAATTATTCAGCCGTCTTTCATTGGAGTATAACATGATGATCGCAAGCCTTCAAGAGACTCAGATATCGTCTATCCGATGCAATTCTGATGAGCTAATTGAACCCAAATCCTGCAGCTTTAATGCTTGTTGTTACGTTTGGCAAGACAAACAAAAGATTAACCAAATAACTAAAATTAAAACAAATGCTTAACAACAAATAACACTCAAAGTCGTACATGTGTGTGGTATACAAAAATATAATAATATAAAACATTTTCACAAACACAAAAGTCTAACATACCTACATAATATATATGTATGCATACCATTTAAAGCGGTACATGAAATATGTTTGACAAATTCTATATGAAAAGTTCCAACTGTTTTATTCTCAAATCTACAAATCGAACCTTCCAGCTACTTACTATTGACTATCCATAAAGAGAAACACACATATTTACCTTAAAAAAAAAAAACAAAAAAAAAACAAATTTAAAGGTTGCTTTGCTTAAATATTTAAATGGCATACAGTCTGTTATGACTGTATGCATACCACTTTCCTTTTCATAATTGTCTTTTCTTCTGTATACATGATTCAAAGATGTTTCCTAATGTTTAATAATTGCTTTAGCAACATACATAAAAACCTAAATGAAACAAAAAAAAAAAACAAAAAAACAAAGCAAAAAAAAACCATACAAATTAATTGCGTGCATACAAACAAAATACAATGCGTACCTCTTGCTTTATGAAAACAGAAAGTATAAAACCAAATACAAAAAAAAAAAACACAAAAAACAAAAAACACAAATGAAAATAAAAATATATAAAAATTAAACAAATACAAAAACTATGAAAGTATGAAATGTTTGTAAAGGGCACATGGCATATTATACATATGTATGTGCATTGGCTATGAGAGAAAATGAATTGTGAGCGAATTATTACTTTAATCAAATGGCATTTTCCAGCACTGGAATCCTTCAGACACACACACAAGCAAAACGACCATAGAAACTACTAATATGAATGTTGCGCAACACTCAGAAAAAAATGTAGATTCAGAACTCAACTGTAAATTGTAAACTGGCAAATAGCTGCAGATACATATGTACATCTTAGATACTCATGTATGCATGTACATCAGCAGAAATAGTTAAATATGATTCCAGTCGATTGACGACGACAAAGTGTGTTGAATTCATACTCAAACCAGTATATAAACATATATGATTGATGAAACAAGCGTTAACTTTTCCCACGTAAATAAGTTTTACCTTACAATCAAATCATTGTTTTATTTAGCCACACAGCTGAGAAGCAACAAGATACAAAACCGAAACTTAATTTTACTATAAACTCACATTATACACAGAACAGGAATTGACAAGCAACTTCGGACATCCGAAGCTAATATACCCTTACATATCAGCTAAAGCAAAGAAGAAGACAAATCACATGTGTCTCGCTCGAAATCTAAAAATCCGTTGTTTTTGTAATCTTGGCTAGAATGCATATGTACATATAGTATAGTACGATTCAGCCAAAATGAGGGGAACTTTGCAGTAAGGGTATATTAATGTCTGCCTCAATAAACACAAACACACACACACACACACACACACTACTTAGAAAGATTTACAGAAAGTACACAATTTATTTGAAAAAAAAAAACATACAAAGTAAAAGAAATAAAACCTGTTAAAAACAAATGAAGATAATAGCAAAAAGAAAAAACAAAGAGAACTACGCATTACGGAAAGATAAACAAAAACAAACTAAATTGTTATACGGTATTATTATACTTTTTCTATAACTTATAATTTCCTTATTGAATAACAAAGCAAAAAACAAAGTGAAAAAAGAATAATTAAACAACAATTTAAAAAAGAACAAATGCAGCTTTCTTACTCTGTTTAAGTTTAACAATTTGATTTTGGGCGCCGCGTTGCTTGAACCGCTCCTGTGCCCGAATTTTAATTCAGAGATGTATACAGATTCTCTTGGACTTCATTTATTCTGCCATTAATAAGGAAAAATCTGTCTTTATACGACAATTTAAAAAACTCAAAATTCCGCCTTTTTAATCTGATTGTGTTAAATAACTTTATTTTGGGCGCTGCGTTGCTTGAACCGCTCCTGTGCCTAAGTTTCAATCAGCTTAAAGCTGATTAATCCAGCAATCAATATGGAAAGCTCGCATGGTTAAACTCTATAAGTTATGTGACTATCTTTATTGTTTATCGTACACAAAGGAACTACGACCACTTTAGCATAGAGCGTATTTAAACGGAATACAATCAAGTAATAAAGTACAATTAAGCTGTAGATATTTACAGAGTGGCTGCTGTGATAAACACCAGATGTTGACTTAATATACTATGCGTATCTAAGCATCTAAGCTGCTATATGGCCGTCATATAAGCGCAAAGTTGTGATCTACGAGCGCACGCGAGCCCACGACTGGCGACAGGTGGACAGGTGGACAGGTGGACAGACGCCGCTGACGGCACAGCAATTAAGTGCCACAGCACGTTGTGACGTGGGTCAACATGGCACAGCCGCCAGCTGCCAGCCGCGGCCTGTTCCCGCCAAGCGGAAATGGATAATATTGCGTTCTAATATACTGAAGGGGAAGGGGGGGTGAGTGAGGGGGGTGGGGGGCGGGTGGACTAGTGCTTGGACTCCAGTGGGAATAGCTGCTGATCGTCGTCGCAAAAGCGTATGTTGCCGGTGACGGGCAGCATCTGTTGCTGCTTGAGGCTCATGTGCTGCAGCACGAGCAGCACATTGTCCCTGGCCAGCTCCTTGGCCACGGCCATTAGCATTTCGACAAAGGTGGCATCGAACTGCATGAAGCGTCCGCAGTGTAGGACAATCGGGAAATCATTGCGGTAAAGCAGGCAAGCGGAACGCATCTCCGAGCGCAGCGTGTCCACGCCCGTGTAGAAGATGTCCGACTGGGGCACCACATGCACATAGTAGTTGGACTCGAGCTGCGGGGCGAGGCATATGGAACATATAATTGAGAAAACTATTTCCTATGCATGTCGGACGCACCTGCTTGAGGTAGACCTCGATTTTGGGATTGCCCAGACGCAGCAGTATGCAAATCATGCTGACCACAATGCCGAAGAGCAGGCCCATCTCGACACCAGCGATCAGACAAATAATCAGACTGCCCGTCCAGCTGAAAAAGTCCTTTTTGTTGGCCGGCCACAGCTCCTTGATGGGTGTCAGGTCGATCTACAGATGAAATCTAGAACCACGTCCAAATACAAATACAAAACAAAACCTACCATAAACACAACTGCCGCAATGAGAACAGCTGCCAAGGATGCTCGGGGTATGTACTGAAAGTAGGGCGTTAATATCGACAGCGCGGAGAGCACAATCAGGCCCGTATAAATGCCAGCCATGGGCGTGCGCACGCCCGATGCCTGACTGACCGCGGAACGCGTGAAGGCGCCACAAGTGGGCATGGCACTGAAGAAGGAGCCGGCCAAATTGCACAGGCCCAGCGTCAACATCTCCTGCGAGGCATCCAGCCTGCCATCCTTGACTGCAAAGTGATGATGAGCAAGAGTTTAGGTGCACATATTGCGCATACGCACCGAAGGCCTTGGCAATGGCCACATTGGCCAGCACGGCCACAATGGGCACCAGTATGACTCCGCTGCCCAGCTCGTGCAGAATATCGGTGAAAACATATGTGCGATTCTGGTACTCAAAAGCGAAGGGCGGCAGCTTGAAGCTGGGCATGGCCGAGGATACCTTCGAGGAGAGCGCAAATGGCACCGCCTCCAGCGAGCTGCGGTGCACCCACAGGTAGACCAACAGGCCGCTGAAGAAGACCACCAAGGCATTGCGCGATATGCTGATGTACCAGAGCACCTTCTTCAGGCGTTGGTTAAAAGGCGTCTCCTGCTTAAACTTGACTTGCGAGAGCAGCTAAAATGGGAGACAGCAAAGTAAAAGTAATTGTATGATCTTTAGATATAGTCTATGTGGACTCACCCGCAGTGAGAGCAGCAGGCAAAGGCAAGCAATGCCCAGGCTGGCGTCCGTGCCACGAATATTGCCAAAGTAGTCACCAAGTGTGGACACCTTCTTCAGACGAATGCCCAGCAGACTCTTCAGCTGTGCCAGCACCACAATAAAGGCTGTGCCGGTCGTAAAGGCTTTCGTCACGGGCGCTGGTATAAAGCTGACTATGAAGCCCAACTGAAAGATGCCCATGAGCAGCTCCACGAGGCCGGCGAGGAAGGCCAGCACGATGACCATCTGGACGGGCTTGTCGGCACAAAACTGCAGCGTCATTATAGCCATCAGGCTGGTGGGTCCGATCGAGACCTGTGGAATTGTGCCAAAGAACACATATATGATGGAGCCAATAAATGCCGAGTACAGTCCGTACTCCGAGGAGAGACCCGCCAGCGCCGCATACGCAATGCTCTGTGGTATGATGGTCAGGCCCAAAGTGATGCCCGCAATGAGATCGGCAAAGGCCTGCGGCCGATCGTAGCTGCGTATCCATGTGAGTATGTAGATGCGACGCAGCAGCCAATGCGCCTCCTTGGGTGCACTGTATCTGCCTTGCATGTCCATTTCGAGCGTATGTGCCAGCTCGTAGTTGTCGTCGCCATTTTTCGCCGTGTACTTTACCCCATCTCCCTCGCAGTTGGCTGCAAACGAAAGAAAATTGGAAAATGTACTCTCAATATTCTTGCACTCATCATCCCGTCTCATCCTACGATCGTAAATGCTGGACACCGTGGCCTGCGGCCGTGCGCCAGGTACTCCAATTCGCCCCGTGGCTATGCCGAGCGTGCGCTTCCACGGCCAACGCATTTCGTACTGATTTTCGATTTTGCCAATGGGCAAACTTTAACTGAATATTGTTTATTTGCTTTTCTGGTCAGGGGATATTTTTAGAGTTAAGCCAGTATGCGACCTGCTCGAAAGCGCGATATGTAGCACCTGGTCCGCAGTCCGCAGCCGAGCCAGAGTTGGCGTATTTTCCCCCACTGGGTGAAATCGTAATTAAATTTCTGCCGTCAGGCACGACTGCTAGATAGATATTACTATTATAAAGAGAAACAAGTAATAGGTTCTAGCCGGGAGCTCCCGACTAGGTGTTACCCTGAACCCTCTTCTTCCAACAGGCAATAGGTATAAAATGATAGATACTATATATATATATACTATTCTAGAAGCTACATGTCAAGTTTGGTGACTCTAGCTCATATTATTTACCGAAATTGCCCAAAAAACAAGATTTCGATATCGATTTTAATCGATTACTTGGAAATGGGGCAAGTTATCGCATATCGGAAACAAACTCGATCTGCGCGGGGACTAGGAGGACCTACATTTAAAATGTCAAGTCTCTAGCTCTTATAGGTTCTGAGATCCTTGCGTTCATACATACGGACGGACGGACAGACGGACAGACGGACATGGCTAGATCGACTCGGCTATTGATGCTGATCAAGAATATATATACTTTATGGGGTCGGAGATGCTTCCTTCTGCCTGTTACATACATTTGCACAAATACAATATACCCTCTTTACCCATTTTCAATGGGTTCAGGGTATAAAAACAGCTGAGGCTCTTTATACGTATCTGAACAGATCTGAGCGCCAATTGAGAACCTGTTCCCACACATTATATGCAAATTTCAACTTTTCACTTTTTTATCTGAAATTTACAAAACATGCTCAACTTTCAACTCGTACTATCTTCTAATTGCAACTATCCTAGCTACTTATTTATTTACTTACTACCTTAACTTAGCATATTCTTTAAACAGTGTCTCATGCCCAAAGTCAAGCTCTACGCAATATTTAACTTATAGATTAACATGTTTTTTTTTGTTGTTGTTAACCCCAAGTGCTGCTCCCTGCTGAATGCGTCCCATTAATAGGTTGCTAATCCAAATAATGGACTGACTCATCAAATTTGGCGTTAATAATTGTGCGGCGCAAAAAAATTCCACTTTGTGTTTAATTTACTAATATCTGATTTGTGTGCTACATATATAATTATGGATACATACGTACTTTCGCAAATTCATTTTGTCGTATCGCTAATTTAATTGAAAGTTCGGACATGTCCACAGCGCATGTGTTTTCTATTTAATTTTAACTAACTGCCGGCCTCTAATTATGACAATTATAATATGAATTTAGTATATCCGTTATTATTTTGAAAATTCGCTCAGTTCTTAACTGGGTAAAACAAATCTTTATTGCTTTTTCACATGTCACAGAATTTTAGCTGAATAAGTTCATCTAAACAGTTAAAGTACATCAAATAAATTATTATGTGACTGCATTCTTACATAAACATAAATTCTTGATAAACACAAATTCTTCTTCCCAGAGAACGTCCCTTTAAAAATATTTTTGTACATATCCTACTTGGAATTCAATCGAGTGTGTTAAGATTTCAAAAAATTTCACAAAGAAGTTCGATTAAATTCTTATCGAGAAACTCCCATAAAAGCTTTAAGATCTTAAATGTATTCAATATATATCTCCCGAACGTGGGCAGGTTTTCTCAAACCTGTTTTTATAAATCTATTTAAGCCATAATTTGTCAAAAATGGCATCGTTTATTGCTTCACAATCTGCGTACCAGACACGATCTCGAGCCATAAATCAAATTGAGTGCAAAATTTCAGATATATACATACGTTAATCTATATATATATACATATATATTATATTAATCTATATACGTGCACACAGCTTGGCACTGACCGCAGATAACACACCATTAATTAAGCATTTTCAGGGAATATAAATAAAATTTGAATGAAAGAAAAGTTCAACTGAATTGAGCTAATCGCTGTTTATTGTTCAAAATGTCACAATTTCATCAGGCACAGCCCACGCAAAGGCTAACTTTAAATAAAATTAAAAATCTTAAGGCCTGGTATTTTATTTTGAGCTTTAATTGAAATCAATTTAATTAGAAAAGTTTGCCTTTGCCGCAAGCTAATCCGAGAGATAAGCCAGAATATTTCCAAGAAAATCTGTCTGCAGCACTTTTTTTAAAACTTGTATGTCTTATCAATTTAAGAACTTTTTACGAGGAATCCACTTTCTTTAGAATAAATATTAAACGTACCATCAAAGGATAATTTTTTGGGTAATGACATTTTAATATGTTCGCAACTATATCCGTTTATGTTAATCACAACTAATTTATTAAGTTAAAGGATTAAGCGAATTGTTTACTGCTGCTACGCGTGAGGCCAAGTGCGGCGCTTCGCAATCTGAAGAAAACTGCCGAATGCGGGAATTTTGGAATGATAAATATGCGAGAACGGGCAGATCTGTCTGATAAACATGAAAAATGAAAAGAGTCAAGAAAACGGCGACATTTTGTCATCTTACGCCCAATGCCAACAACAATGAGACACTTAACGCCCATACGGTAGGCAGATGGATAAACAAACATAAGGTTAGGTGTGGAGGCGGTGGCGGGGAATCCACAGTTGCCCTACTAGAGCTAGAGATAGTTATATATCTATATATATATCTGGAGACAAACTATTTTAACAAGCCCCTCGGGCGCGATAATATATCCGCCGATCCGCGGTTGATACGGGAAAGCGTACATCAGGGCGAGCCATTCTGTGGATGCTAAGTATTTTTCCGTCTGTGGCAATCGAACGATCACTCAGAAGTTCAAGAACGATGAGTCAAAAAATAACCAGGTCAATATTTAAACTAGAACTTAGCCCAAAAGGCATGTACAATACGTCTGCAGCACATATAGCTATATTTATTAATTTGGGCAATGTGATAATCAGTTGCTAACATCTTGTGACATCATAAATCTCCTTCTCTGCAAGTTGATAGTGACAATAATAGATGGTCTGATGCTGCACAAGTGTTAATTCAACTATGCAACAATTACAAGTCTTAATAGTTAGAGTCATTACAGCTAGAGGCTATCACGAGTCTGTAAAGTGCTAATCTCTTAATCTGTTGTAATCATTTATCTTAGGATAAGATAAGATATTATTTCTATCCTCGACTTTGAATACCTTCAATGAATTTATTTTCCCATAAATGTGCAAAAAGTTAACATCTGAAGGTCAGTGAGCGTCTGGGCTGTTAATGTGATGGACAGTTGGTCTCATTTTCTTACCGCTATCTGCAAACAAATATCTAACACCGCATTCGTATCGCGGATATTTTTATCTCAATAGTCAAGATAAGAAATGGGTTGGTTTATAAATAAGTTTCTTCGTCTTAACTATTTATAAAGTATATATATTTATAAAGTCTACAAATATAGATGGATAGAAGAATTATGGTTTCAATTATAAATACATAGTTAATAGTTTGAATTTTTAAAAGCAATATAATAAGTGGAATAAATATTGCTTTAGTGTCTGAATTGTGGGTTATGTGCCATTTAAAAAATCGCGCCGTGTTGTAAAAGTTCGTTTCATATTCGATAGGTACAGTAGTATCGATATACAATATATCGTAAGCAGCTAGATGTATCGTGTTATTAATTCTATTCATTGCAACAAGTTTTGAATAATAAAATGTATATCTTTTGACACATATTTTATAAAAATTATAACTTTCCACTGTGCACATTTGAAAACATCGATACTTTGTGTTAATTTACCACCATTTTAGGGTTGTAAAACACATATCGATATCTGGTCATAGTTGAATTAAATATGCAGTTCAGCTAACTTTTGTGCAACCTTGTTCGTTTATCGCAGCGAATAAAAATATAATTAGGAACAAAAATATATTTATCTGACGTTAAACAACTTAAGCGCCGTCGCTATTGCTCGTTTTTTTGCCCAAACAAGCTAGCCAGTGAGAAGCGCAGAAATAGGAGGCGAGGCGACCATTGAATGAAAGCAAAAATTCGCAAAATTCGAGCAACGAGTGCGAGTGAAAAAGTGCAAAGGCAGAAGAAGAAGGAGGAGGTAAAGCAGAGGCAAAGCAGAAAACGACCAGCCACAAAGCACGAAAGGCTAACCCCCAAACAAAAAGAAGTGCGTGAATATTTAGAAAAATTAACGCCCGACCGCCATTAGTGTTTTTGTTATCGTCGTCGTCGTCAACGTTTTATTTGTTGTTACTCGGAAAAGGTGTTGAATGCTGGCTCCGAGAAAGGCGAAGAAGATCGGGCGACAACTCCTTCATTAAAGCGAGCATATTGTCGACATCGTACCCGTTCCCCGTCTCCATTTCTTCCCCGTTTCTGTTGTGCATCGTGACGTCGCCAAGCGAAATTCAGCCACCCAGCCAAAGCCAGCGAGAAGAGATACAAAGCAAAGAGCCAATAGACAGAAGCAGCAACAGAAATCAGAAGTATTTAAACAAAAAAAAGGAAGAAAAAAACAACAGAAAAAGTAGACGCAACCGAAGAAACGCATAAAAATAAAATTGAAATCAGAAATAAGTTCAACTGAAAGCAGAGTTCCCCGTGCGTTCGTCGACTTTTGGTGCTGGCAATTGGCAATTGGCTTGCCCATCTTCTATTATGAACAACAATAGCAAGCGGAAAAGTCGACCTAGCGGCGGAGGCGGTGGCGGTGCCAGCGGCGGCATCTCAAGGTAAGAAGAAGCGCTGCTGCTGCAGTTGAAAAAGCACGAAGCGAATGCAAAGGCAAACGCACGAAGAAAAACACGGGCTAAGTGCTGTTGTGGGGTGCCCGTTGTTATTGTTGGAGCTAGTTACAAAAAAAATAAAACCGCTCCGGGTTCCGCTGCCGTGAAAGGTGAAAGCGCGCGATTGGTTTTTTTTTTATTGTGTTTCTTTATTATTTTTTTCTTAATATTCTTTTCTGTTTTTGTCAATTGCGTATCGCATGGAATTTGTAAAATTTGTAATGGCAACTTAATCAGAAGAAGGGGTACAAGCAATCAGTGCAAATTGCAATTACTTATATAATACGTCGCTCATGCATGTGTTTGTGCGTGTGCGTGTTTTGTGTGTGCATGTGTGTTGGATCTGCTGATGGCGCTGGCCATGTACACATATTGTTTTATATGTGTTTGTGTGGTGTCATATTTTGAGCTTTGTTTACATTTCCCTTGCACAACCCTCCCCAAAGCAAAAAGACGAGAAAACAAGACCACATAAAATATGTATAAAAAGCACAATGAATAATTTGTTTAAAGGCATCCAATTGTCCAGCGAAGCACCCCCTCGCACAACTAGACACACACACACACACACAAACACTAGAAGGAGACCTCGAGCAATGAATTTGTGAGAGCTCCCCACTATCTCTTCTTCAAACCCTTTAAATTTTCAATTGAAATATGACTGCCATACATAAATACTTACATTCTTACATCGACATTGGCGTACATGCTGATGTTCATATAAATGTACTACGTTAGATATGTACATTATCGTACACATTAGTACACATTTTTTTTGTCGTGTTATGTTAGGATTTTTCTTTGTTAAATTTGTTTTAATTTAAAATTGTTTTTTGAAAAAAAAAATGTTTATTTGTATTTATGTGTATATGTATAAATGTACAAGTGCGCACAGTGTTACCATGCCATTTCAATGCAGTTCACTATTTTTCAGCTGTTTGTGACCCACTGCAGTGCACGCTCACGACGTGCACATATCGTATTTTCTTTTTCTGCTTTGCTTGGTTCTTTTTCGTATGCATTTTTCTTGCATTGTCAGCATTTTGCTGTTTGCTGCTGCTGTGTGACGTGCGACACGACGGCGGCTGCTGCTGCTGCCGCCGCCGCTGCCTTGGCACACTTCGCCTCCCGCCGGGCGCACAAAATTTGGGTCACTACAATTTGCTGACCGAACATTTGGTATCGCATCGTTCTTTTGCTCCCTGCCACTTCTCTGTTTATTCGGCATTCTGCCTATGCACACTTGCATTTAAGCCCCGGTCGTCTCAGCTATGTATGCATGTGCATACATGTTTATGTACATATGTATGTACACATGTACGCCTCGGCCTATTTAGTTCGTATTTTGGCCTGCCTTCTGTAGGTAAATGCGCAGATGCGCTATCATGCGATTCCTGATTCTCGGGCCACCTTATCAATGAGCACCTCTCGCTTTACGCATGATTCATTTTAAAACGCAAATCAATTAGTTGCCTTCATTGACGAAAATGTGCGCAGTGCACCATAGCTTGCGATACTTTCATATAAGCCCCTTTATGTCCAGCTCCAGCCAGCGACAGTGTAGATATAATTATTATTGTTGCTGGGGCTTTCGTTGTTATGTGCGTGTCTCAGTTCATTGTGCGTTGCGAGCTGGGCATTTCACGGTCGTCGATCCTGCACGCAATCAAAACAACCCCAAAATGCGTTCATCCAGAAACATTTGGGATATATAATGAACTAATTCTGGTCCTCCAGAAGTAAATTGCTGTAAATAGATTCAACTAAAAAGTCTCTAAACTCTTTATTTAAAACTAAACTAAAACTAAAATCTACAGTCAAAAAAAGTTTTCTATAAGCTCTAAGCAACAGATAAAACTGGAATAGAACATAGACACATACATATACTCAAAAAGATAGATAACATAGATAGAACAAATGAAAATGTTCAAGTCGAGAATGCCAGACTAAATGATACCCTGCACCTTGCTAAAAAGAATACTATCCTCCTCCATAGTATGGGCATTTCAATATTGACCGATCCAACATTTTCTACATATTTTAAGGACGGAAGGGAACATAATAAATAAATAAATTATATAATTTAATTTCATATATACAGATGAGAGGATGGATGCAGATCAAAATTTTATTTTGAATTTATGGGGTCAGCGAAGTCTTCTGACTTTTACATACGTATTTACCCCCTTTTTTATAACACTTTTAATGGGTGCGCAGGGTATGAAGAAAGAGCAGGTGTGTGCATATTTGATTTAGTTCATGAACAGGGAAGCATTTTTAAAATCGAGTTCACTGGACTGAACCAAAGCGCAAACATATACACATTGACACTCACACATATACATATGATATGACCAGCTCTTATTTACTTTCGTGGGCTGGGCAGGGCGTGGCTTGGGGTAGGGGACTACGGACCCACTAACAACAACAACGACGTCGACGACGACGGCGAATCGATATCGTAGCCCAGCGCATCGCATCGCATCGCAGCGCAGCGCAGTGCAAGCGTCGATGTCGACCCTGAGCAACGTTCGGGCTCGATTGCTTTTGCTCGGTTCGGTCGCTTTGTTTTTGCTGGGCTAACCAAGAGACCCGACCTGAGCTGGGTTGATAAAATTTGGGTGGGTGGGTAAGGTAG